CATCTGAAGTCAATTTCTCATCTGTTCTTTCCTTTTATGACGCTATTTTTGAATAAATACATGTGTAAAGTCGCAGCTGAAGACATCCTTTAACAAACCCACAGAATGTATTACAACAACACCAACATCACCACTATAAAAAAGAAAGAAAGAAAGAAAGAAGAAAAAAAAGACGAACGAACGCAGTTAACAACATTCGAAAAAAAGCAAAAAACAAATCAGGCTTAATCCCGAAACGAAGCGGCACTGTCTGTACAACAACACGAGCAACAACGACAAGAACAAGAGGAAGAGACTGTGGTAACATTCCAGCGAGACTGAGGCGTAAGTACAGTGCTTTGCCAAGACACCTGAAGTATGGTGCTGCCCTCTTTCTCTAAATGACGGCAGAGGCAAAGTCGTTGTTTCGGGGATCGGTTTATTTTGCGGATTTGAATTAGTTGCATACGTGTGTGTGTGTTTGTTTGTTTGTTTGTGTGTGTGTGTGTGTTTGTCTGTGTGTGTTTGTTTGTTTGTGTGTATGTGTGTGTGTGTCCTCAGCTCTTCCTTGGTAATTTTTTCAATATTTTCTGTATTGGATTAAAAAATCGCTTGAAGGATACAGTGTAAGAGTTCTATAATATACGCATATAGATGAAGCTGTGGTTTACCATGAGAACAGTTGCTTGTGCTCGGTGTCAGTTAAACATTACCACTGTTTTGGCGCAAACTTAGAGCCCTGGAAATGGCCATATGTCCCCGAATATTCAAAGGAAGGGCTATGCATTTCCTAAAAAAAAAAAAAAAAAAAAAAAAAAAACGATATCTGAAGGATCCCGGTATGACAGTCCAGTTTAAACCCCTTCCAGAAAAAACAGGTTTAGTTTAGCCTAGTCCAAAATAACCCCCGGGATATAATTGGGCCAAGCCTACTTTATAAAATAGGCTAGTCTATGCCCCTCTAGACCAAAATATACCCCTGTTACAATCAGTGGCAAAACTTTTTTTTTAGACCATAACTATTATGTAATGTCTCCTGTTAACTTTTATTGAGGTCTGCAAACCATATGTCCCTCTAATAAAAAAGGGAATATGGAATGATGAATAATATAATCATCAGGGATTATTTTTTTTTTAAATGAGGCTCATTAAGGTTTTAATGTAAGATAATTTGTCTGGCAAAACTGTTGTAAAGAATTGATCGGGTGATAATAACAGCTTAAAGTTCTTGATCTATACATTTTTAACTTTGATATTTAGAAGTTTTCGCACTTTACAATTGGAATGCTAAAATACTGTGACAGGTACGCCCAAAATTGTTAGATTTCTCTACTTTGAGTCTTCTTCAAAATGTCCAGTCTTATCTTCAGTGGGTTGATTTTTCTCACAAATGTTTCTCATACCACATGTCTTAGAGGACTGAAACACTAAGGACTCAACAATACTGATTTATAGCAATGGTATCTGAATGGAGACATATCAAGACATTGCGTCGACATGCCATTACAAGTTTATGGAAAATAATGTATCCCGAGGACACGAGGCCGTAGAGATCTTTCGTAAACTGTTATCATTTCATAAACAGTAAAGAACACAGAGGCTAATTGGGCCTACCATTTTTAAGGGGGGCGGGGCCCCGAGAGGAGAAGGTGAAAAAAAAAAAACAAGGATGGAATATAAGCTCATTAAGGCATAAAGAAATTCTCGTCTGCGCTTTCCTTGCATGGAACACAAAGCAAAAAGATGACGTACGGATCTGGCCTCCTTAGTTAAAAAAAAAAAAGTTTTAATCAACTTTTTTATTCGTCCAAGAAAATACAATTAGATACGTGTAACCTAAAACCATAAATACATGACATACTGAATGTTCACTTGTTACTGACCATAAGAAATCAGCAGTAAAACTAGTTATAGTAACAATGATGTTTATTTTTTATGAAATGAACACAATGCTAATAATAATAATAGTTATTATTGTTATAATTATTATGATCCGTATGATAATAATGACGATGATATTGATAATGGTAATGATGATTCTAATGACGATGATGATGATGATAATAATAGCAATAACAATAACAATACACAGGCCACATAAAAACGGTGATTAGAAAAAAATAAATAAATGAAAAATTGATAATTAAACACACACACACACACACACACACACACACACACACACACACACACACACACACACACACACACACATATATATATATATATATATATATATATATATATATATATATATATATATATATGGTTTGTACTTCTATTTTGACCATCATCAACTGCATACTTGTTCCAGACCCTATCCACAAAAATGTACATGTCAAATTTTCTAAAAAATGCAGCCTGTACAGTATGCAAAACTTTTATAATTCAGTGCATAATGCACACGGAATGTCTACAGTTGTGAGATCACTGCATAATCCGCATTAGCACTAGCTATTATTTTCCTGCAATATATCATTATACTTGTTACATGCAAATGGGATGGGGTATATTCTGGCCTAGCCCACTTTGTACCTAGGTGTATACCTGGCCTAGCCTAATTTGCATACCGGGTATAAAACAGCCTAGCCTAAGATCTCCCCGGGTATATTCTGGGGTGGGGGTGGGGGGGTGAACTAGAGTCTGGATTGTTTTTCGTCGCGATATTTTCCAAGCATCAATAAAAAATAATTAAATATCTATTATTTATATTTCTGTTTTTTTTTTTTTATATATATATTCTTCCTTCTCTTCTACTTCTTTACTGCAAATAAACAGGAAAGTAATAATTTCATACATACTGAAATGATAATGATTATGTATGTGTATACTTGTAATAGTAATCGCACACTTTAAACATGCGATCTCACTACGCTAGCCATTGTAACAACCGTATATCAGATCATTAATAACCGCACGTGTGCTACTAGCCCACGCGAGATAGGACATGGTCTGATTGCAAAAGCGCAGCATCTGCCAAATTCCGTTACCAAACTCTCAGGAGGCTGACTGCATTAAGAACAGAACAAAGTGCTCCGGTATTACGCAATGTTACAGCAGAAAATACACACACAGCAGACACAGTCAAGACCGCGCCCGACTGAGGAATCAAGCAAGGCGGAACACAAGAGTTCGGGGAAATAAACATGATACTCTTTCTCCTATTTAGGCCCGAATATCCTGGGTAAATTAAGCGGAGTTACGACGGAGAATGTTGGAAACACTCGCAACAGGATGGCTCAAGGCCAAAGACGAAGGAAACTGGTGTTATGCTCTGACATAATACAGAGCACTAAAATTTTTGTAGCCTTGCGAATTATGAGTGGTCATTTACCTCTTCTTGAATGAACAAACGCTGATGTCATTTCCAGAATATTAAAGAACTGAAGACTATTTCCTTGCAAGCCTGAAAAAATATTTAAAAAGCGAAAAACTTTATATACTAGCTAGGCTGAAGAATGTCCAAGAACTAAGAATTTCATTGACCAACCACAAATGCGGATATTAAGAAGTGCATCCCACAAAGTGTGTGAGATTTAGAATGCTCTGGCGAATGTAAAGAAAAGGAAGTTTCAAATCTCATGGATGAAAGAAACTATTTGCTCCCCGGAAGAAAATGGGCATTAACGAAGCACCATTTTTTTGGCTCCTAGATGGTTTCATCAATTAGCTCTTCATTTGGGAATTAATGTGAAAAGCGTATATAAGAATACGACAACATAAAATACATTATTCGGTGAAATTTAAGATTGTCATTCGTGTGTATTTCATTAGCCATCACAAACATTATTCAACATTGGTTAACACTGTAATCAGAAGGCAAATCTAAAAGGAAATTTAAAAACAACAACTATCCTTTTTATGAACGTTAAAGGGAAAACACGCCCACCAGTACCTGCCATGGGTGTTTGTTTATTTTCAGAAAGCACACTTTTAATTATAATATCGAGATCTTAATAATAATAGGAATCAAATACGACGTGAAGATAGCGGCACTGCACCGTAGCCAAAAGAGTCTAAAATGCGTCAAGAAAAAAAGTTAAAAAACAGTCAGTGAAAAAGGTTTGCTTGTCGGATTGTCCATAATTTTTTAAAGGGTGTGTTTATATTTAGGCAACTTACGAAATTATAAAAAAAAAATAGTACATATTCATTTATTTATTCCTGCACTATATTTCTACCAAAATAGGAAAAACCTTTGGAACGGCACGCTGAAAGTATTCGAAAATTCATTAATGTCAAAGTAAATTTTTGGGAAGGACCATAACAAGGAATTATTTTATCCTTGTCAAAGTTTATAAAAAAAGAAGAAAAAAAACATCAGTAATGATAATAATAATAATAATAATAATAGTAACAGTGATAATAACATAACTTTTAATTTTCAATGCTGACTGAAAACAAAAAAAATATTATATATACTTTTCTCGGGTCCACACATTTTTTTTCCATAGATCTTATATACTATTTTTGATTCTATATTTCATCACCACATCGAATGAAGATCCGTTGGAAAAAGGACTATCCATCTAATCGTTTTTCCATAGAATAATTATACTTATTTTGACTATTAATGCTACAAAGTGGCTACAAAATAAATAATGATTATGATAATGATAGTGATAGTAAAAGTAATAATAATAATAATTATAATAGTATATATAATAATGATAATAATTATTTTAACAATACTAATAGTAATAGTAGTAATAGTAATAATAGCAATGATAATAGTAGTAATAATGATAATAATAATAATAACAATAATAATAATATAGTAGTAGTAGTAGTAGTAGTAGTAACAGCAGAAATAATAACAATGATAATAATAATAATAATATAGTAATAGTAGTAGTAGTAGTAACAGCAGAAATAATAACAATGATAGTAGTAATAACAATATAGTAGTAGTAGTAGTAACAGCAGAAATAATAACAATAATGATAATAACAAAAAGTTCTAGGCTCGTATTCCCCAATATAACATTTGCGCCCGTCGCCCCCGCCGCCGCACATTGTTTACCTCCGCCACGATGGTCGACGCCGATGCCCCCGAAACCTCCGCAGCCGACGTCTCCTTTAGCGATGAGGACACGCAGCCAGCGACCAAGAGACGGAAGCCGGGCATTATCTACCTCTCCATCATCCCGCCCAATATGAACGTTGCCGACGTGAGGGATTATTTCTCGAACTTTGGCGAGGTGGATCGGATGTTCCTTCAGGCTGGGAACGAAGGTTGGTTCTCGTCTGTGTCTTGCTGGGCCTTTGGGTTTGGAGGGATTGGTCAGTTTGATAAAGTTGAAGGTTTGGGGGAAAATACAGAAATTGGCGCAGAAGCCTTGCACTGTAATATCTTTAGAATTTGTTTGGGGATGGCATGAGGTCATGAAGTAGCTGTTGGTGGACCGAGGGGCAGGTGGCAAGAGAGAGAGAAACAGAGAGACAGAGGGGGAGGGAAAGAGAGAATGAGAGACAGTGAGAGAGATAGACAGATATATATCACAGAATTAAACCCATCATGACATACCCCACTCCTTCCACTTATTTGGGGGGCTGAAGCTATTCGTACTGTCATGGTATGAATAACGAGTGGCACGTTGTTATCCACACACAGCGGCAGGGTGTAACTCACTAAAATGGAAAAAATACACGTCTACTACCGGCATAATTGTTATAAAACATGTTATACATCACCTTATCAATCGGTAGATAAAGTATATGACAATTAGAAGGCAATTAATCACGCACTAGCCTGGGAAAAATTGCAAGCGGAATGGACAAAATCAAAATGGCGTGGCTGGCCCAGTGCGTAACCACATCTGTGCAACAAGAATAAAGCTCTCCCATTGGTCGATTACCACGGTACGAATAATATAGAAACAAGGACAATCCGCACCGTCACGGTACGAATAGCCAGTGTGTATTTGGGGGAACTCATCTTTTACAGTGGTAGCAAGACGTTTGTTTGATGTCACTGTTAGAAGGGAAACCTCTTTTATTAAAACTTGTTAATAAGATGCAGCTATAAGCTAATAGGTACCTAATATTTGTATGTGAAGTACTTAATAGGCAAGGGGCAGATGGGGGAAACTGTTGATGTGCATATTACTGGCTACTAGCCAATTTTCAGTATTGTATTTGTTTCTGAGAGTAATGCACCCTCCAGAGATGAAATTCTAAGACCAGGGTATCATACAAATCCAAAATCGAAACCCAACCTTTCCCACCTTCTATTCATTTCCTACACAGATGGGGTAAGCCCCCTTGTACACCCCATTATTAGCATTTTGTGAAAACTCACAGAGACTGTGACATTAAGACCTCTGACAGTGTGAGGGTATTGTGGACTTTCTGAGCAGTTTTATTCAGTAGATATTTTTGTCATTTTGCAGTTAATATGAGGCCAGAGCAGCTGTACATATGTTGTTTATTATTCTTATGCTCTAAAAGATGGCAGTGTCCATTTCTCTCTGTCTCTGTGTTGCTCTCAGTATCAGTATCCTTCAGTATCACAGTAAATAGGTTAATGAGGATAAGCTACTGCTGGTTGATAAATGTGTGACAGTGCAACTTTCACATATATTAGGAATTGGTAATTTTCCAGAATATAGACCGTCCTGGCCATTTATCTTTGGAAATTACTGTGAATAGTCTTAGATGAATGGACACCACAGCACTCCTGCAAAGGCTGTAACCCTTAAGTATCTTCAGCAGGATAGTGCTTAGATTGGTTATTTCTTGAAAATGAATTGTCAGGGAGGTCAGCAAGCTTTATCCATCCAGAGTATGCATGGTAGAAGTTTGTTTGTTCTTACTGCAGAGGTCTTTACATTACTAGGTTTGCACCATATATTTGGAGTCTTTGATAAGCAATTTTGGCTATCCTTTTTATATGTGTATTAGTTTGTTGCCTCTGGAGCTTGAAGGCTATTGAGATCTCTTGATATTTTTGTGTCCACTACAGTGTAAGACATTAGGCTATAGGCTAACCTTTACTGATTGCAGCAAAGTTCAAGTGCATGTGGGTAGAGCAAAGCCAAGATGATAATGAGAAAAAGTCCTGTTGGTGTCTAAATAACCACTAACCACTATCTTATGATGTGTTTCAAATAGTATCCATTTCTGTTTCAGCATCAGTATCCAAAATATCATTATTTTAGATCACAGAATTTACCAGGAGTTTGCTCCATGGATTTATAAGTCAGTGATATTTTCTTTTAGTACCAGTACAAGCATGAACTACAGTTCAGGAAAGTTTTAGATTTATTAATTCAAAAAAATCTTTCATCTATGGCATATCTGCTGCATCTAGCATATGTAGAAGATATTTAATAGCCATTGTAAATAACAAGCATGGTAGTAGTGAGTGCCACAGTCTGCACTTTTGGTGTTCTGACAAAGGTAAACCTCATTCACATATATTTTGGTAACAAAGAGGTTGGTCTGTTTCCTAGATAGAAATAAGTTTTAAGGGAAATTTACAAGACTTCTGCATATTTTAGAGCCATAATTTCACAAGCCACATCTAGCATCCAGATCATAGTTAGTAGATTCAAATGCCTGAGCATTTTGGGGAACAGAGCTAGAACTGGTTGAAATGCAATATGAAATGTGATACACTGTTATTTATGCCTTTGATAGCATCTTTATTTTCAATTTGTGATAAAAATGTCGCAGATACAATATGTCTCAGAACTTATCAACATATGATTCTATGTGTTATTTACCTGTTTATGTACCATCAAGATATCAGAAATTCTTCCTCAGGATTTCTTTCTATAGTATGTATGTGTGTATGTGTAGAGGAGGTCAGCACTGGAGTAGTTATCATGCTGTCATTGGGGTGCAGTTCATAATAGAAAAGATTGCACCTTGAGTAGGGGAAATATTTAGTTTTTTTGATATCATGAGGCTTGGCCAGTAAAGAGATTGTTGCACACTTTTCTTGTCTTCTTTCATGGACCTGAAAATCTTTTCTTTTAGTTACTTTTCTTTTAGCTCATATATACTTTTTTATGCAGTTTTATCCTTAAAATTATCTTATTTACATTCTTCAATAATCTGTTATGTGTGGCTATAGTAAAAGTTTGTGACTTTGAATAGATGAGGATTGTCTGAAATATTCACCTTGGGATGTAGTTTACATTCAAAAGTTGAGGGGCTGACAGTGAAGTCTCAGGTTCAGTAAAATTAATGATAAAAGAATAGTGGATAGGAGGATTTATTCAATTTAATTTTTTTCCATGTATGTAGTGATTTTGGACAATTGTTGGTTGTTCACAGATTTTATGGACTTATTTTCAAATGTGCATGTGGATAAAGGACCAACTTCTATTTTTTTATATCAGAGTTAGTACTCATATTTTCCTGGAACTGAAATCAGAGATTAGGATGTAGTATAACCTGTGGTCACAGTTTTCTTGTTTTAAACACTTCATTATTTAACACCTTTTGGTAAAGTTCACTGTATAAAAGTATGAAAATGTGCTGTGTAAGGAACTGAGAATGTGTAAGCACCATATATATTCCATGAAAGGTTGTGTTTCATAGAATTAACAGCAAGAAGATCCATCAAATATTTCAAATAATTATGGCCAAAGTTGGGGAAATACTGTCTGTTAGGATGTTTGACAGACTATCAAGTACAAATAATATTAGTGACAGGCCTTATTAACCCATTGCCGCCGGGGAAAATGAACAAAAAATGGGGGAAATGCAGTACTCATTTTTTATATTTTTGTAAAATATCTCTGTCCATAGATGGCTCTGCTAGTCCTGATTTCATCTTTCCTTGAATTGGCGGGAAAAAAACGTATTTTTACTAGTGCTATAAATATAGATGGTGTTATTTTCAACAGCAAATTAGGATAACGTTAAATATTTTCGTAGATCGATGAAAAGGGTGATCGGGCGAGACAGGCAGTACTCGTAATTGGCTCATTGGATACTTAGTACAAGTGTAGCCATCTATGTGTAAAAACAATCGAACAAGTCAACTCACAGTGGGCATGGCATGTACGTACATGTCATCCCCGGCGGGAATGGGTCAATTAATCTCAAAATGATAACCGAATCCAGAATTGCCATCTTAATTCCATGATCAGATAACATCAGTAATGATTTATGGATCATTTATATTTCATGAAATCTATGAAACAAATGATCCATATTTACGTAACTTGGTATATATGTGCTTTTAGTATTTTGGTGTAAATCATCAACTCGTTAATTTTCTTGATTTCTTTATGCAGTGTAGAATAAATTGTAATTATGATATTTTTACTTTTGTTTTGGCATGTATGGCATAATGATATATATTTCTGATTCTAATCCTCCGTAATTTCCTCTTTATAATGATTTAGAAACAAACCCTTTTTTCTCATCCTTTTAAGTACTGTCAACTTCTTTAGATTCCCAGTAGGATGAACCAGTTATTCATATAGCTTTTTGATTTACAGAAAAGAAAAAGACAGAAAAGTGGAAGAAAAAGAAAAGGCAGCGCTACACGGAAGGGTGGATAGAATTCAAAAGCAAGAGAAAAGCCAAGGCGGTGCAGGAGCTCCTCAACAACCAGCCAGTCAGGGGAAAGAGACGGAATCCTTATTATGACATGCTCTGGAATATCAAGTATCTCCCCAGGTGAGTCATTGATCCTTTCTGTTTCTTCGTTTTCCTCTCTGGCTCCCTGATATGACTACTGTATCCTAATATAAGTACAGTTAGTATAGAGATTAGTTTACTAAAGCTTGTGTACTTTGTATTTTCAGATTTAAATGGGCTTATCTGAAACAAAGACTTGAGTATGAGAGAGAGGTTCACCGGCAACGCATGGCGGCAGAAATTTCCCAAGTTCGACGTGAAACTGACCATTTCATTAAGGCCTCTGAGATCAACAAGAAACAGAAGAAGAAGGATAAGGCAATGAATAAGAATGGGAAATCTGAGGAAAGCAGTAAAACTGAATCAGCAGATGATAAAAATGAGGATAAGGAAGAGAACAGTATAAAGAAGAATAAGAAAGCTGATAAACTAGGTTTTATATTTAAGCAAAAACTGACAGAAGATGAAATTTTATCCAAGAAAGAAACCAGAAAAATGAAAGATGAATATTTTAAGAATAAGATTAAAGCCAAAAAGTTAAACAGAGAAGAAAAGAGAAAGAAGAAGGACTTAGAAGACAAAGATTTACTTGGCTCTATATTTGTGGGAACAGGAAATTAATAAATGTAAATTAGATTTTATTTTTTACTTGACCCCTTTTTAGCTTTAAGAAATGAGCTCTACATTGTGCATAATCATCAACATAGTAATCATGTATTTTGAAACCACAGGGTTGATATAAATAAGGCTTATGGATCCTGACTACTCAGATATCACCAGGCCTTCCTGGGAATAAATTACCACAGGTGTGGCATTTTGCACCCCTAGACTGTGGTAGGGGTGTGGTGGAGTGCTATTAGTGTTTTGTCATTTGTTTTGCATTATGCAGTAAATTATATCAGCCTTTAATTCAAGGATCATGAACTTTATAGCCCTCAATTCAAACAAATTTAGTAACTTGAATCAAAGCTATTCTGTTACCTTGTTAATTCCTGGTGCTGTAAATAACAATTGAATTTTTATGAATAGACATGCGATTAAACCCACTTCCCAAAGTGGGGAGGCGTGTACCAGTGCGTGTGAGTGTGCAATCGCAAGCCTTTCCCAGGAATGCCTCTATCACTGAAAGGTCTAATGTTTTCCCACTACTCGTCCCCCAAATCTCTTACTCGTTGTAGTCATGGGAGGGCTTAGGAGATGGAGGCTGAGGGAATCACCCCTACCTTGGACCTCAGGCCTTGCCTCAACTAAGTTTGCATGGTCTTTTCTTCTACCCCATTCCTTTGCTTCTCTTCTTCATCTTCCCCTTCTGTCCACTTTCTAAGGTGTGAGAGCTGTGTTGAAAGGATGAAAGGCTGGCTTTGTGTCAGTCATGAACGACCTCTGGGAGTCATGGGCATGGTATTCCCATGGTTAATTATGTAGCCCTTACCCCTCATGGGGTCACTGTGTGGTAGACTGTTTCCTCTCCCCATTTATTTCAGGCTCACCATGGCCAATAATGAAGATTTGTTTACCCTTATCAGGGTCATTCAGACTTGCCCCTTCATCAACTAGCCTCCCTAAAATTGATTTCATTGGTTTCCTGACCCCTGCCTCTCCTTCACTGTCTACCCCCCCCCCCCTTCTTGCTACTTTTCATCCTTACTGTCCTCCTAACAGTATTACCTCTCCTTTCTGCCCCATCTTCCTCCTACCTTCATCCTTCTACTGCTTCCACCTCCACAACCTTTTGAGTACCCTTTTTGGCCTAGCCACATGGGATCAGTTTTTTTATGATTTCCCTACAGCCCCATACTCTGGCAATACCTTTCTCTTCCAAAAAATAGGCAATGTTTCCTTTCACAGTCATTCCAATCATTTTTGCCTTTTCACAGTTACATCTGGGTCCCAAGCTCATGCACTATTTACCCTGACAGACCTCACTGGCAAACCTATTCCTGCCCAACCTCACTCCTTTAATACTTGTACCAGAACTGTTTCCATCTCTCCAACTGATTGTTCTGTCTATAAGAAGGACTGGTCAGACTGTAAAAATGACTTGCTTGCATGCCTCGTCGACTGTGATGCAGTGGCAGTCCAGTGCTATACTGTTCCTCCCCCAGGCCAACACAAGTCCTACACCAATACTGCCAAGATTAGATTCTGTAGACATGACCTCCCTACAAAGTTTATATTAGTGGAGTGTCCTGCCCTGTCCAACTGTATTGACCTCTTCCTTGTCAATGTCAGATATGTTGGAGTTTTGGCCACCCAGCTAAATACTGTCACTCCGCAGCCTGCTGCCCTCTCACTCTACCTGTCACACCAGACAATGTAAATGTTCCACTCCATCTACACACACCTTTTCCTCTGCTCCCTGGATATCTATTCCCTCTTGTCCTCCATATAAGAAAACTTGTTTCTCAGACCTCCAAACCCAACTCCCCTCCAGGAACTCTAGAAGACATCCAAAAGTTCCAAAAATTACTCAAGAGAATAATTCACTCCCTCATCCACTCTCTTATCCCTCTATTCCTATTTGCTCTACATTCAAAGCATGTGCTGATATCCATCCTCTTTCTCAAGTTCCCCCTACTCTTCCTCCCATTCACCCAAAAAACACCCCATCCTCACCTCCACCAGTGCATCACCATTCCCACTTCCTTACTCATTATCCTTACCACCACCACTTAGATGCTCACGTGACTCCTTCATGCCGTAACAATGTCCTTCGGATTCCTCTCCTCCTGACATTCTTCCTAGTACTTCACCTCCTTTCCCTGTTCCCTTATTTCATTCTCTGGGTCCTTCTATTTGTACAACTATCATTTCTTACTGTATTACCCTTTGATTGTTTCATAATAGATCTTTTGCAGCTCCCTCATAAAGTGTTACTTCCTTCCTCAGACACATACTCACCATTTGATCTGATCACCCTATACCTTTAACTACATCCCCATTTGCAAATCCCTACCGAGGTGACGTGTAGTAACAAGGTTCCGTGCCTTCCTTTTGCAATGTTATTCTCTCTTCTACATAGGTGTTTTTAGCTTTTTCCCCATTTTCCATTGTCTATATTTGTCATTGGATTTGCTTTATCCAACTGGTAATAGACTGTTCTTCTCGCACAGACTCCATTTTATCTCTCTAGGTAGTCCCATAACTCATATCCAATTTTCTCTTAATACAACCTGTGCTGCCAGTCAAGGCAGGCAGGAATAAGATCTTTAGCATGCAAACATCATCCTCCCTGGAACTGGCACTCTTCCAGTCATGATTAACAGAAAGTACATTCTACACTCGTTTATCAATGGAAATAATGCAAAAGCCCCTTCGCCTTCAAGCCAAACATTTTAATGATGCAAGGGTCGTCATCTGAATCATATGGTTAACCCAATGGTGCCGGGGAAAATGAACAAAAAATGGGGAAAATGCTGTGCCCACTTTCTATGTTTTTCGTGAAATGTCTGTCGATAGATGGCTCTGCTAGCGCCTGATTTGAAATGGCGGGAAAAACTTATTTTTCACTAGTGCTATGAAAATCGATGGTGTTATTTTTATCATAAACATTATAATTTTTATAATGTTTTTTAACATTAGTAACAGCAAAATAAGATTACGTAAAATATTTTGTAAATCAAAGAAACGGGTAAACGGGCGAGACGGGCGGTACTCGTAGTTGGCTCATTGGTGATTTAGTACAAGTGTTGCCATCTATGCGTAAAAACAATCAAACAAGTACTCATGGTGGGCATAGCACGTACGTCATACCCGGCACCAAGGGGTTAATATCAATATCTTTATTTTGGGAGATTTCAAATTTTGATAGTGATTTTTGTTGGTCTCCTCTGGGTCCACTAACACCAAAAATAATTTAAAATGCAGAAAAGATCTCATGTAGTTGTACTAATTAATTAACCAATTAATGCTGGGTACCTCCACTGCCAACTGTGGTTTTACTCTATTAATTTTCTTTGTACAGTAATAATAATATGAAAAGTATAGAAGAAGAGATAAAGAGGGGGGAGGGGCAAGATTAGGTAGACCTACTAACTGATATCTCAGTGACAAAGAACTTGTTTGTAAAGAAAATTTTGATAACTCAAATCCAGTGGACAATGTGTATATACCCTGGTATCTTGAAGTACAGAAGTATGTGGCTCAAAGATTCAGGTTCAAGTTTTTTCATTTTGTAGATTACAATAAAAACTTTGCTGATGGATTTTGATTTTGAAAGTAGGTGAGGTATTACTCATTTGTAATTAAGGTCATTACTGGGTACTAAAATAAAGGAAGGGAAAAAAGTTAAGGAAAGATAATTGGCAATCTGTATTTTAATTAAGATTACAGTAAATCACTTGCCTATAAGGCAAAAATCAATACAATGATTTCATGACAACCATTTTATATTAGATATAACCATTTTTTTAACAACTGGTATTGACTGTCTTGACTTCACTGTATTTCTAATGTGGTGAATTCACAAGTAGACTCCTATATTTTCCTCAAATACACAAGCGATATTGCACACTGATTCTACTACATAACAAAACGAAAGTGCCCTTTTGGTCTTGGTACGCATGGTATGCTGATCACACTCCCCAAAATATTCTTGTACCTCTGATACTGATAATTTTGTATGTAGTTGAAAAACTGGATGGTCCTCTTGATAAAAATCAAATATATATATATATATAATCATATCCACACTACACTTTCATGTGTTGATTTGTTTGCAGTATATTAAGAATGGTGACACTGTAGATGAATAAGATAGAATCATTAAACAAAGTAAGAAATTTAAAAATATAGATGATTATTTAACATACAACCAGTTTTAGATATATGAAAGAGTTAAAAGTCAGGATTTCTCTATAAAAATAAGAAAAACAAATATGTCCCATTTAAAAGATATGTACACACAGGACTAAATACATTTTTACTTTTGCCATTTGCAAAATAATAAAATTCCAATATGTAAGTACCAGAGATTTTTGTAAGTAACACAAAAAAAATACTGAATGGATATTGGAAGGTGTCCTAACTGCAGTGCTTGTAAAAGAGAATTTACAAGCTGACTAAAACAGTTACAATCACTTGTGCACACAGTCATGTTATTCAACCATACATATAACACCTGCAAACTTGCTCTCAAAATACAAATGCTACTCACTTGTTCCCATGGCTGTAGTAATGGATGACACAACAAGTGTTTCTACTACTAATGTGTTTAAATTTAACTGGTTGCCCCTTTACTTGTATTTATACATTGCTGGAGAATATATTTTTTTTAAAATTGGTATCCTATGACAGAAGCCATATAATTAACACATTGCTTGTAGTGTAAGAGTTTTTGACTTTCCACACAAGTATAATGGCTGAATGTTGTTACAATGTATTCATTTCCCCAGTATAGAATGACTATAAAAGATGCAAAGTGAGATTTATTCCATTACTAGCCACACTATACAACAAAAATACTAAGGTATTACTACAGTACAAAACACTGTGTACAACCAGCTTTTTTATACCTCCTTTACCTGTGACGCAGGAGATTTCTTTGTACTTCTGTTATATTTAATATATGCAAAGGTGAAAAACATTGAGGGTACAAAGGTGAAAAGAGTACCTTTGGTTTTTCCTTATACAAGTAT